AAGAGTTGTTTACCTTGGTTAAACGAAATCGTGGTACCATGAGTTTGCACTTAGCTCTAAGGTTAATATTATGGATATCTTCTTTCTTATTGAAATTATGTATATTTTTACGGGCATATAAAATATTTGAGTAAATGTACTGTGATGCCACAGTCATGATACCAGTCTCCTTAAACTTTTCTCTGAGAGATACCCGAGAGCCTAGACGGTACACAGAACGAATCGCTCGTTTTTGCAATACAAATATGGTTTGAATATCTGCCGCTTTACCCCACATGAGAACACGATTTCAAACACGATAGACCAAGACAACCTGCAAGAGTATTAGCAGTATAGATCCTTGTGAAAGAGTTCGTCCAGGGAAGTACTGTCGCCTTACCTATTTCTGCCGTCAAGCAGTAATGTTGAGCATTACGGCGTTGCAGTTTTGAAGGGTAAGGACGCTGGTGAAATTACAGGTACATGGGACTTGTCAACTTATGTCTCAGGATGACGGGCGCAGTGGCAGTGCCCCTCAGATCTTTACGATTTAAAACTCTCAGTGGCACTGCAACTTTTTCAAGTTCAAATTCAAATTCAAAATAATCTTTATTTCATAGATAAGCATTATTACACTTGAAATCGTCACAATGGTTAAACTCTACCGCTCATTCATAAGGCAGATTCCCCTGAGAAGAATGAGCAAGAAACTCTAGGGGTTGCTCTTTGTAAATAACATTTACAAAGTTTTTATTTACAAAATTCTTAAATTTTTTCATTTACAAAATTTAGTTATTTATAGGCGTGTAACTTACCATCAGGCGCACGACTTTTCGTCTCGTCACTTAATATTATAAAAAAAATCTAAACGGGTCGCTACCTTGTACGCAGAAGCTGAATAACCATTAGTGTAAAGTTTTTGTTTCACTATAGTTTTATACCTCGCAAATGGCAAATTTTGAATTTCTATACTTACTATAGAAACGTATGCATTGCCCCTTAAATGAAATGTGTGACTTTGTGAAGGTGACTGTCAAGAACAGTTTAGTTTTATTCCTCGATTTAATGTTATGTCGAATGAAATTACTATTTTTTTCAGCATAAATGAAGTTTTCATAAATGTTTCATTTATCTTACAAAAATTGACCTTGTAATATTAATATCCAATCGTATTTTGTACAACAGGAGGTCCTGGTGCCCCTTTATTCGTTGGGCGTGCTGATTTTCCTGAAGATGTTGGTCCCGAACCCTCACTTTCCCGAAGTGCGAACCGAGGGCCGGCTCATGCCCATCCATCACGACGCCTTCCCCGAGAACCACTCTATCGCAGTTGTAGCTGACTGGCTTAACGCTAATGGAACTAACGTAAGTCGACGTACTGTTAGAAAAAACAGCTAAACATCTTAAGAATTATATACCACATTAACCATTTTATTTGCAGAGTTTTCTGGAGGATATCAACGGGTTGCTCATAGAGTCTGGTCACCACGCCATTAATTGGATCCGCTACAATAACACAACCGATCTGAACGACGCGTACCACCGCCAACCTCGCAATTTCCCCATCGCCGTCATCTTTCACTCAGATCCTTCAACTTTGGGGGAACCTCTCAGGTAGACAAATTTTATATTTTAAAACTTTCTCGTAAATGTTGATAATTTGCATACATTACATTTTTCTTCTTTAAATTTTTTAATCTTCTGTAACTTGAAGACATTCTTATCCAAATCATTTGTCATTTTCAGATACACAATTCGCACGAACCCCTCCCATTTTGGTACTCCATCCACGCGGGAGCGAATGACATCACCAACTAAATGTCGTGAGCGCTCGGCTGTAAAGGACTGGTCTTCGGATTGGTCCCGTGGAGGACAACTCATCCCGCTGTCCGAAATGAACAGAGAAGATGCCTGCCCGGTTTTGCAATATTACTATTCTGGCTTCTTAGCTCTACAGACTTTAATTGACTACACCAAAATCAAGGTAAAAGCGACGTAAAAAAAGTTCTTATACGTAGGTTGTTCATGGGTCAATTCAGTTTAATAATCTCTGCTCAGGATTATGAACATAGCGTATGGTACATTTCTCATTCTCGTATGAATCATATTTTCGAATCTAATGTGTCTTGTTTTAGCTGGAAACCGGTCAATCTTTCCCTCCGCCGGGAATTGTCCTTCGTCAGTTTCCCAAGCGTCAACACACGGGTGATTGGTTGGTGATCTTTCGTGTTATTATGCCCATGTACATGGTCATGACGTTGTCTCAGTTCATCACCTACCTTCTTATGTTCGTGGTTGGGGAAAAGGAGAAAAAGATTAGAGAAGGCATGAGGATTATGGGCTTGAAGGATTCAGTTTATTGGTGAGTTAGCAACAGTAGGTTTATAAATGTCGTAAGTAATGTAACTTAAAAGTACTTAATGAGCTATTTGTTTCAGGGGTTCATGGTTCCTAATTTACGCAGTGTTTGTAACGATACTATCAATCGTTAGTACTGTATTACTATTCACTTTAAAAGTAAGAAAACTTTATCTGATCGTATAATTTATCTTTCTGTTTACAATTCGTATAATATATATTGAATTTGTTTTACAGGTGTTCCAACATTCGTCCTATATTTTAATATTTCTCCTTATGCTTTTGTTTGGTTTCACGATAATAACTTTCGCCTTTATGCTGACACCCTTTTTCGATAAAGCCAGGGTAAGTAATTCTTTCGTTTTTATTTTCATTGTATCCCATTTATATCATACCAAATAATTACTATAATTTTGATTTATCATTTGCATCATGATCTTTTTCAGACCGCCGGTATTCTTGGCAGCTTTGCAGTGAATCTAATGAGCGGTCTCTATTTCATCCAAGTTTTCGTTTCTAACGCCGACTCTCTTGCATTCTGGTTCGTGTCTCTTATCAGTTCTAGCTGCTATGCTCTCGCTATGGATAAGGTAAGCAACATCTTTAAATATTACGTTTGAGAATGTAGCTTGTAAAATAAGTTTATTTATATTTATTTAGTTATTTTTAGTCAAAGGCAAGAGATAGAGATATCTATCAATAGTATAACGAAAACCTAACGGATTTGAATTGGACAACGAAAATGAATAAATTACACTTATAAATGATTATGTTTCAGGCGTTAGTTCTGGACATGGCTGGAGTAGGTGTTACGTGGGATAATCTGTGGAGTGGTCCTGGAGTTCCGTTCGGCGGCAGTCTCATCATGATGGCAATCGACACAGTCCTTTACGGCTTGTTCGCTTATTGGTTGGATGCTGTTATACCCAGTAAGTAATATTATGCTAATCCTTGAAATGAATATTAACCATTATTATGTCTGCCCTTCAAAATAAAGTTCAATAAATAAATCTTTAAAATCGCATTGGGAAGCGTGAAAGTTGTTAATTGAATACTTAATTAATCACTAAGAAATTAACAATGCCATTTTTAGGTGAATATGGAATTAAACAAAAGCCCTGGTTCTGCATGTTGCCATCATTTTGGCTTGGTAGCAGGAGAGGAAGAGTTTCGGCAGTCCACTTTCATTCAAATGGGGAAGCAGCACATAATAAAGATATTGAACCGGTGCCAAGGTAACAATATCGTTCATCATTACTGAAGGCAGTAAATCAGTTTAAAATCTTCGTATTTACGTCTAAGAAATAAATAGACTTATTCAATTACCTATAAACAGGAATATATCAAAATTAAATTATATTCTTGCAGAGAACTTCAAGACAAAGAAGCAATCAGAATCGTAGGACTCCAGAAAAGCTTCAGGCACTGTCGGAGACCCGAAACCAAGGCCATTGACGGTATAGACCTGAGCATCTACGAGGGACAGATCACTGCTGTGCTAGGACATAACGGTGCTGGGAAATCTACTCTGTTCAATATTCTGACAGGATTAACAGCGCCTACTGCTGGAACGGCTTATGTTTATGGATTGGATGTTAGGTGAGTTTCTTGAAAGAATAATTTTGCGTATAACAATTTGAAAACCCAAGCAAGAGAAAGTGCGAATTATGCATAATATTTCCCAAACTCTCAATTATCGTTCAATATTTTGTTGTGTAGGGATCCCAATGATATGCATGAAATTCGACAAATGATCGGAGTATGCCCTCAACAAGATGTTCTCTTCGATTTGCTGACCGTCAAGGAACATCTACAATTTTTTGCTTCAATAAAGGTAACTATCATAAATTAGAAACAAACCGTCATTTATAAAAAATGCAAAATTGTAAGCGATCATCTTTTTTACAGGGAATACCGAGGAAAAGGATTTCAGACGAAATAAACAAAGCGTTATCGGATGTGGGATTGCTTGAGCAGGCTGGAGTTTTCTCAAAACATCTTTCCGGAGGACAAAAAAGGAAGCTGAGTATAGCTATTGCGTGTATCGGAGACCCAAAGGTTCGTAAAACTCAAGGATTACCATTATCAGCGTCAAACCTTGCACATCCCACTGCTGGGCACAAGGTTTTTAGGCCAAGAGGGCTTAGGCCACAGCCCGTCTTTGAAGTCATTTCTTAAGCACCTCCTCAATTTGATTGAGTACACATATCTCGACTTTTCCGCATGTACATTGCTTAAATTTATAAGATTATTCCACTGATAAATCTAGTTTTAATTAACGAAAACGTTAATTTTCCAGATAATTATCCTAGACGAACCGACGGCAGGTGTAGACCCAGTATCGAGAAGGCAAACTTGGAGAATCTTACAGAGAGCACGACGAGGAAAGGTTTTGTTACTAACAACCCACTTTATGGATGAAGCTGATATTTTGGGGGATCGAAAAGCTGTCATTAGTAAAGGCAGAGTACGTAAAACATCGCTTATATAAACTATAAGGCTTTAATAAAAACTTCTTATTGTTTTCCTAAATTCATATTTTCTTTGCAGGTTCGCTGTGCTGGTACATCATTGTTTCTTAAAAACAAGTTCGGTATTGGATATCATTTGACCTTGGTATTAGATGGTAAGTGATGACATTTACATTCGTTTTTTTTAATATCTTACGTAAATTAGGAGGCAAACGAGCAGGTAAGCCACTTTATGGGAGGTGGTCATCGTCACCCATGGACATCTGCAACATCAGACGAGCTGCTTAGAGAGCCCTGTTAACTCTTTTTTTGAAGTACCACATGTCATATCGGAAGGGAAATACTTCAAGAGGGAAACCATTCCACATCTTGCCGATTCAAGGGATGCCAGATATCGAGGATGTCACGATATTCAGAATTTCTAATGATTTTTTCAGGTGTATGCCGAGAACATCAAATCACAAGGCTTGTAAGAGGCCATGTACCCAGGGCAGAAAAGGCTCGGCGACATGGTAGAGAATTATCGTACATTCTACCCCACTATGCTGTACATCTGTTTCCACCACTATTCCAAGCTATTGAACAAGAGATCAAGGAGAAGACAAATAGACTTGGTAAGTCATCAAAAACATGGTATAAAGAAACAATTTACAGTCAAAATTGATTATTTATCATAATTGCGATTGAAACAGAGTTCGTCATTTTAATTTATTTCCCAAACTTCAAGTATGTGTGGGCCTTCTGGTTTGTACCACTTAACTTACACACACAAATACCAGCCCTATCAAATATCAAACGGTAAATAGCACAAAGTAAACGTAAAAACGGCACAGTTCACTTTAATCTCGACCTTCTTAACGAAACTATTACTGTTAATGCTTACCGGTACTTTATCTGTAAACTCGCTAATATATTATTCATCGAACTCGTCGAGGTCCTCTTATAAGTAGCGGCTAGACTCAGATGAAGATAGAAGGAATCTCGATGGGCTCGTTCAATAAAAGAATATTTAGTTGACTATATAAGCCCATATTCTTGGTCTCAAACAGGGAGAATTTCTTGTCATTTGGAGAACGACTCCTAACACCAAACCAAGAAGCAATTTAGAAAAGTTCGTTATCTAAACTGGTCCTCTCTGAATCAAATTGAGGACCTTCTCATTCACGCGGATCTCAGCGTGAAATTTTGTTATTATTTCCTTTATGGCGGCTCCTATCGCTGCTGTAGATCACTGGTTCACCTGGATGCACTAGGGGCAATTATTTCTTCCCGTGGATATAGGCTTGTGCTAGTGTAAGTTTTACAACAATAAAATAAAAATTATTGCGATCATCGCCAGTGTCAGTAAATAGTATTGCTGCAACTAACAAATTCGCCCGTCAAGTATTATTATCATGCTATTATGTCTCATTTTACTCATTGACTTTGACAATCCATCAAATTGTCCTCATGTCTGGTAAGACATACAGTCGTATTATATAAATAGTCTTCTGATATGCCAGGTGTCACTAGTTATGGAGTATCAATGACGACACTGGAAGAAGTTTTCCTGAGTTTGGAAGGTGAAAATGATGAGGAAACAGAAACAGTAGAAGGAGTGTCCTCGGTGAAACTAGTACGAGCTCGAGCACTGTCCAGGAGTTTATCATTACAGAGTAAAACATTGAGTTATCAGGTATTACAAAATAACATTATGCATTTTAAACTCCTCAGTAATTCCAAAATTTTAAGGATAATCAAAGAATGACTTCCACCAAGTTAAACTTTTGAAATGTGTGACAACAAATATTTATGCAACATATGACATTTTAGGAACTAAACGACAAGGAGCAGCAAAAGACAACATCACTCCCAACTCCTCCTGCATCTCACGCTCTACATTCCACGAATCATGGAGTAGAACATGTGAAAGTCACCCCAGATGTATCGATATCCGTGGACGCTTTGGGTGATGTGGTGAAAACTAGCCCGTCTTGTTGGAGAACGTTTTGCGCTCTTGTGTATATCAGGACAGTCAGAATGATCCGGGATCCGTACAAGCTTTATGTGATGATCTTCATGCCTATCAGTAAGTTACACTTCTGGTAAATTGACGATTTGGAAGCAACTACTGTGAAACTTTTCAAAGCATAATAGAAACAAATATTTTTCGAAAATCTAGCCGAATATACCATTTATTACCAATAAAAATACAATTTTCTTTTTTAGTATCCTGTGCGCTTGGACTCTACGTGAAATCAAGACAAATTGTATTCTTTCGGATGCAGCCATTAAAATTAGACCCCAATTCTTATTTTAACAAAACGCCTATTGCTGTCTACAGCGAGCAGCACAACCCTAGAGAATTATCAGATTTGACGGAGTCTTTAGAAAATTTTGGTGCCACTCCTATATTAGACTTTAATGGAAGTTTCGCCAGCCTTTTGGATATGGAGAACTTTGGAGCATTCACACTGCAAGATAGCCTGATTCCATACGGAAAGATAATGGCCTATTACAACAGTACTTACACTCACAGCCTGCCTGTGATCATTAATTTGTTGGACAATAGCGTTTTTAGGTAAGATGAATTGGTCTTTATATATCATTGACTTACAATTATATGGACGTCGGGTCCGCGCTAAAAAGTATCCGAACTTATAGGGCGTTAAAATCGTATACAGAGCGTCATTCACGCTTTAGCCTTCGTTTGTTCGACTGACAGCGAAGCAAGCAAAATTAGACAGTACTGCGATGACATTACAATTTAAATTCAACGTTTTAGCTTTTTCATATTCCTTTACATGTCACTACGTTTAAATAGATTGACTTGGGACATTTTTTTCGTGGTATCTGTATTAGACCCGTCGTCCATTTGTTTGTAAGTCAATGTTATATATAGACAATTTAATAAAGCATTTAATTTTCTTTATTATTATTAGCGAAAAAGATCCCCATTTCCCCATTGCCAAAACATTTGTTTCATCTAGTCGCCAACTAATTTAGAGAAAATATGCCCCCTTGGGTACCTGGTACGGTGACCGAATGCCTATAATTTTCTAAGATTGTTTTATCAAGTTAAAGTTTTATCAACTTTTTCAATAAATAAATAAAGACGATAGCTCACCAATGCAAAATACAATTCTTGAAATCTTTTTAAACATTCTCTATTTTCAGGGTCCTAATGTCATCATCAAATATGATCGAAAACTTCAGACCAATAGAAGTATTTACCCACCCATTTCAACAGACAGAACAACAAGAAGAATTCAATCTCGGGAACGTAGTCTGTGCTATTTTTATGGGCATGATTTTTGCTCTAGTACCCGTTACTTTGGCTGTGGATATCGTTTATGATCGAGAGGTATGTTATTTCATACGTAATTTGACAACAGATAGATCTTTCCTCGATTTGCAAACTTTAAAACACGAAGACGATAAGATGAGTGTAGACGTACTTAAAAACCAAATAAATAAACAAAGTTTTATGTTACTACAGATAAAAGCCAAAAACCAATTGCGCGTCAACGGTCTCTCAATGAGCATGTACTTCTTGACTTACTTCACAATCCTAATCTTCATTATGATCCTCACCAGCGCAGGAGTTCTTGCACTGGTAAGTGTAATTTTTTGCTCTTGGTTGTGCATATATATTTTTTTTTCGATTCTTTACCAAAAGCTGTTAATATAAAAGTAATGTCTGTAAGTTTTCCAATCCATGAATTTTCGTAACAATTTAATAAAATTTACAGGTAATGGTCAACGATATCCCAAGCTTAACCAACGGCTCAGCCATTACAATGCTCTCTGGCCTTCTCTTACTGTACAGTCCCTCTGCCATATTGTTCAATACATTACTCTCTTATATTTTCGACAAAATGGATTCTGCGCAAAGCATCATGCCTAATATTACCACTTGGGTTGGCGTTATACCTTTCATATTGGTCGCTGTTTTGGATACTTTCAAATGGGGTAAGTATTTGTAACTCCTTTTTAACCGACTTCAAAAAAGGAGGAGGTTCTCATTTCAACTGTATGTTCTTTTTTTTTCTTTTTTTTTGTATGTATGTTACGCGATAACTCCGGTATTTGTGAACCGATTTTCATGATTATTTTTTTGTTGGAAAGGGGGTACTTCCATAGTGGTCCCATTTCATGTTGAAGAAAATCATCCACCTTGAAAGGTGGCTGTTCACGCATGAAGATTCATTTTTATAAATAGCGCCTAACTTTAATTTAGGAGCAATTACTTTAATGGTTGATTTTGCTATTTCTCCCATTCAAGGCGTTTTTCTCTCAATATACTTTGAGTAGTGTCGTAGTGAGAACCGATTTTTATTATCTCCAGTGCCAAGTCCTGTATAGTGGCGAATTTAAGGATATTTCAATAAAACTTAGCAAATAGACGTAATTCCACGTACTTTTGAGGTCGGTTTTTTAGTACTCTGTACTGAGATTATCAAGAATCTGTAGTTGACTTTATTATTTACTCAAGTATCGGAAATAATAAACACTTTACCTTTTCAGGAAACGACGCCGCCTTTTATCTTCACATTGTTTTCAGTTTCTTAGATGTCATGTACATTCCTTACGCCATCATCTTCTACGTTGACAGGTATGATATTTTTATTTTAACCACTGGATCATATAGTTTGACAATTCTGAATAATTCGTCATAATCATTAATCCATTATACGGAAGAAGACCCGTCTTAGGTTGAGATTTAAGCCAAGGTCCGCCAGTTGAATGATGGTTCCCTAACTTAAAAAAAAAAACTAAAAGCTTCACACGTTTTCCAAGGATTCTTCTTCGTGTTATTTTGTCGATGGCATACCTACTACAATGCTTGTCAGCCCGGGGAAAGGCTTTGCCATTTGGCGTAAGGTACACGCATTTTTTTGCCCAGGATGTAAGAAGAAGAGTTTCACCACGAAATTTTCTTTCACGGTTAGTGAGAAGTGTTCGTGCTAAACATTCATAATATTAAAAATGTGATTGAATTGATATTCAATTCTTTTTTATGTGAAATTACTCCACTAGTTTCTTATAATTATTAATACAAAGATCCGGCCGGATTCGAACCAAGTAAGCCACGAAATGAACCAGCGGACATTACGAATTTTTCGATGTGCTTGTTGTCGTATCTTTTGTATTTGGTTTTTTAACAACATTTTACCCGTATCGCCATCTATGAGAAATCTATGAAAGAATTTCGTCATCCAGTTAGACACCTTTCAGCTGCCAGCCACGGCGAGAGATGTCGCTATTCACTGTATTTAAATTCCGGATCGAATCGAGGATTTTTTTCTGAGTGTTCGATCTTTGTATTAATAATTATTCATAACATTCATAACACAGTCATTAACGTCATAGGTACATCACCACAGCTGCCTCCATAGGGTCCAACCGCTCTGACTTGATTTACAATGAGCACTCGATATATAGTCTAGTCGTATTTATTTTGTGACAAATTTTGTTTTTCAGAGTTTACGTTACTTGCAACTTGCGCGGTCTATGCACTACGCCAGCCTTATCGAGCTACTTCACGTTTGAAGTGTGGGTGCTGATTATTTCCATGCTGGTTCATATACCGATATGTGGTGCTGCCTTGTTGGCTGCTGATCGATTGAAGTCTGGTGGTAGGATATGTCCGGTATGTATTTCTTTACCTAAAAACTTTGCACGTATTTGTTACATCTCTGGAATAACCTCTATATTGATTCACTGGAGCCTGCGGGCTAAAAATAACTGACTGAGATACTAAGGGCGCGTGTACACGCTAAGAAAAGTCGCCGGGTCTATGTGAGATTTCGTGTCGTGTCTACACACGAACTGTGTACACTGAAAGAAAAAAATCTTGTCTACCTCCGACTCGACGAGCTCTGCCGCTTTTGTATGGGGCGCATTGTCAGTAAACGAGCGGTTATGCGCGTGGACTGGTGTTGCGAAGTACCGCTGTTGCACCATTAACTTTGTTGCGACTAATAAAATGCATGATTTACTTTTCAAATTCAAATTCAAATTCAAATTCAAAATAATCTTTATTTCATAGGTAAGCATAATTACACTTGAAATCGTCACAATGGTTAAACTCTACCGCTCATTTGTAAGGCAGATTCCCCTGAGAAGAATGAGCAAGAAACTCTAGGGGTTGCCCTTTGTAAATAACATTTACAATATTTTTTTTATTTGAAACATCAGAGATCGAGACTACCTCCATGAGCTAAACGGGTTACTACCACGGATTTTTGTCATCCAAGTACGCAGAAGTTGTATAATAACCTTTAGTATAAGGTTTTTGTTTCACTATAGTTTTAAACCTTGTGAAAGGCAAATTTTGTATATCAACCGGAATCTTGTTATAGAAGCGTATACATTGCCCCTTAAATGATTTTTTGACTTTGTGAAGACGACTATCAAGAAAAGCTAGTTTATTTCTATTCCTCGTATTAATGTTATGTCTGTCACTATTTTTCATAAAGAAATTATTATTCCTTTTAACATAAATTACATTTTCATAAAAGTACTGTGAGGCTAGTGTAAGAATGTTAATTCCCTTAAACTTATCTCTCAAAGATACTTTGGAGCCCAGATTGTAAATTGCCCTATAAGTTTAGTAGAGGAACGACCCGTATTGTGGGACAAAACCTTAGAGATTTATAAAGATAAACGACGTACTTTTGAGGCATGGAGTGAAATATTTATTATTCTTACGGAAGATTTTCAAGAAATGACAAATACAGAAAAAAATGCGTATGGTAAATACAAACATTAATTTTAAGTATACATTTCTTAAAATTATTATTACGTAGATACTTAGGTAGTATATGATTTATGCGTATTTATCTTGCCATAGTAATGCACCTATATCGGAGGAAAAATAATTAGTAGACTCGTTAATGCAGACGTTTACCCTAGACACGTCTGTTCAGTTTACCCTAGACACGTTCGTATCGTGTGCGTACTCATCATTTTCCTGTCTGCAACAGACACGACATATTTTCGTGGCTAGATCCGACATTCTCATCTTTTCTGTAGCAGACAAGCGCCTTGAGTTTTTAAGAGGTTTACTAAGCAGGAAAGTAAAGGAAAAAAAATACAGTCGAGTTATTGAAATAATCATTTATGTTATGTTACGTACTTTTCCTTGCGGAAGGACAAGATCTTTACACCATGTCGCCTGGTCTTTATTATTTTTTTTAAATTTACATTATGATAACCATAGTAACTATTTTATTCATATTATGCCTTCTCTATTGTGTGTCTTCATTGCACATCAGTAAAACACAACGTGTGTATGGAATGCCGTATCGTATACGTAGATATCTTTGGTATTTCATAAAAAAAATTAAACATCGAAGCGCAAAAAACGATCGTACAAGGGTATAAGGGTGCCCTACATGCCACACTCGCTTATCGGTCGGCTACCATTATATCTCACACAATCCCAATGCGCCATTTTATAATAACTAATTATGCTGTAAGACCTTCCAGTGAAAATTAATGTTTTCTGTCTCCGAAAAATAGCGCAAACGGACGTCATCAGAAGAAAGCGCAAATGCGGAGGCAGAAGTAGGTGGTGAGATTGGTGAAGATGAAGACGTGAGGAAAGAGAGGCGACGTGTAGGTACTATACTCCAACAGCCGACCCATAACGCACCTGTACTAGTTGTACATGTAAGTAAGCAATTTTTTTGTTTTTGTGAAAGATAGATAAATAATAGAAAGGTGATTTTTAAATGCTAATATTAAAATGCCAATCGGTTAATGTCTTATAACAATGGTAAATTTAATTTCACGTACCTACGTACACTTTATGGTTTATTATTACCACAGAAATCTTAATTTTATTTAGATTGTTGTTCTTATTACCAAACATTTTTTAAGTAAAAAACCCTTAGTTTTTACTTTTAAAATGCTTGTTTATTAGTTATTTTTTTTTAGTAGCAGTAGAGGTCCTTGTGAAAGAGTTCGTCCAGGGAAGTGCCACCTTATTTATTAATGCCGCCAAGCAGTAATGTGAGCATTACTGTGTTTCGGTTTTGAAGGCTGCTGGTGAAATTACAGGCACATGTGACTTGTCAACTTATGTCTCAGGATGACAGGTGTAGTGGCAGTGTCCTTCAGATCTTTGCTGTTTAATATTATTGTTAAATGTATGCGCGCAACGGAGCAGCAGGGCACTCTTTCCACTGGCGTGTCACGAGTTAGCACCCGTGCAGTCATTAGTGAAAGTAGCCATCGCATCTCCAGTCGTTAGCACTAACGACGCAGTTGTTCTTTTACGACGTTGTTTACAAGATAGTCGGCTGACGGCACGTGGGCAGACTTGTGGGGATGTCGCCTTATAAATAGGGCTGCTGATTACTAGGACGGACATGAATAGATTCATGCGCAACGCGACGGGTGTCCCGTGGTACCTGCGCAACGCTAACCTCCATATAGATTTACGGCTCCCCACAATAGCCCAATTCATGAAACAGGCATCGAGGAAATACTTCGACTCTGCTCCTCACCACCCCAACCCCCTCGTGGTGGCTGCATCTTCTTACGACCCCCTCAAGGAACAACCCCACCGCGTAAATAGGACCCGTCGGCCAAGGGAAGTCCTCAACGACCCTGACGACCTTATCACTCTCGCCACTTTGAAGGCCAACCAGATCGCTAGTCAGTCCCGTCCCTCACGCACCAACCGTCCTCGCCGGCGAGGTCGTCGGGCCCCTCATTTCAGCACGTACAGTGGTAGATTCTCTCCTACAGCACGCCCTTCTGGCGGAAGTCTCCAGTAGCGCCCTGAGCCGAGGTCCGTGCCCACTTGGGCGCCCTCAGGCCCGCTACTTAGCTTTAAGTTTATTTTAGGGGTTATGAGCCTTCAGCTCGCCCTTTTTCTCCGGTGGCGCAGTAAAGGCCATCAGCGGCCAACTGCAAAATATCCTTCAAAAAAAAAAAATAGGACGGACATTCGAGAACGAGTCGCTGGACACGAGACAGCTCCACAATACTGCCGTTTACTCTATACTATACTAACTGGTTGTGTGATTATTGTACCTCTGTACAATAAACGAAGTACATACTTTCCGTGTCGCGTTTTGTTTTCAATGTATTCTAAAATGTAGTGAGTACCCACCATGGATAGTATTCCTAAAGGTTAGGTATTATTTCGAATGTTATTTTTTTAAATTTATTACATTGACTTACAATTATATGGACGTCGCGTCCGCGCCAAAAAGTGTCCGAACTTGTAAGGCGTTAAAATCTTATACAAAGCGTCAAACTCCGCTATAGTCTTCATTTGTTCGACTGACAGCGCGATACTGCGATGACATTACAATTTAAATTTTGAATAGGTTGACTTGGGACATTTTTTTCGTGGTTTTTGTATTAGACCCGTCGTCCATTTATTTGTAAGTCAATGATTTATTAGGTCTTTTTCCCAGCAATAATACTTTCTCAATTTTGCCACTTTATTATTAAGGTTGTGACCATGCGACCTCTTTCATCGTCATCACACGTTTTTAGAAATAAAGAAAAGATATTTATTCGGTCTCGTTACAAAAAAGAAAATATTACATTAAAGCTTAAACTAAAATATAAGGAGACCCAAAAAGGTCTGCTAGGAAAACAGACCGGCGCTGATATTCTGTGGCCACCATGAAACGAAAGAATGTACGCCGCTACAATAAACATACATTTCGACTCATCCGAAGAATAGAGTCCGATGTGATTATATAGCGAAAAGAGAATAAGTAAGTTACAAGAATAATTTCGTTATTCAAACTAAGGCCCGTGTAAAGGTGTTTTGAGAATTTATATATCTTATTTCGTTTCGGAAATATAAAATCGAACAACGGTCGATCTGACATCCACAGCGAAGAAGAACGTACGATATGTACTATGTCATGAGAATAAGTAGTCTTGCACATAGATCTTTGTTCTACGGATGAGTCGATTTTGAAAACATGAACATATAAATACATAACATAATACAAAATATATAGATTTTGAGACATCACAATAAGCAACAACAACATTTTACCACACACAAAAATATTTATAACATTTGCCGGACATACGAAACTAAACAAAACAAAAACAAAAAACATTTCACTTAAAAATACCCCACTCGTCATACCTCTTTTGATTTTCCATTAAATACAATTTGAAATTACGCTTGAACATGGCAATCGTTACAATATTATAGTTCCTTATTCTAGTATTTCGAAGCAAAATAACGAAACCTACCCCGAAATGCCGCGGTTTTGTGTCTAGGGTAAACCAGACGAGTTTTATCGCCCATTTTTCTCGTGACTGGACACCTGAACTGAAATTTTGAATCGTTCTTTAATCCTTTTCTTGTCATTCTTACTTTTCCTGGTTCCGTCGCCACTCTCTACTAAATTTCCGAAGCTAGCAGACGTGTTTGACATCATATCAAATTCTGACCAGTTATACCATTGAAAATCATACAACCTAACTGCTTGTAAAGCATAATATTTGTACAAATACCGACTCCTTTGGGCCTTACCTTTACTTTTCTTCCTTTTCCTGCTCTTTACTAATTCCTATTTTACAATACCGTAGACCGAGCCTTTCATTGGATTACTCAAAAGCTTTGGCCACAAAGTTACGGTATGTTGCTTCGTCACATCTTAACAGCAATAACACTAATACGATCCGGCTGATGCAGCCAATGTCACAAAATATACAATCCTTTCTTGCTTTTATTTGTAGAATCTTCGCAAAGAGTACAAAGTTCGTGGCACCGGTACAGGCGGCTGCTGCGGCGAAGGTGACCCAGGTCGAAAAACTGGGCTGCAGAGGCTCAGCCTGGCCGTAGAGGGAGGCGAGGTGTTCGGCCTGCTCGGACACAATGGCGCTGGGAAGACCACCACCATGAAGATCATTACGGCGGAGGAGCGCCCTACTTGTGGCACAGTAAAAAAAATCACAAATTTTAATTCTCTATAAACTAAATGGCCTAAGACCTTATTCAGAGTGTCAGCGGGCGCGGGTGCATGCCTGTGGGCGAGCGCGAACGCGGGTGCGCGCGCGCCATGCGGATAGACCTATTGGCTCGGTCCGCTTTGGCACTGTGAAAGGGAAGACGCCAAAACCCGTGCGGCCGCGCCTGCACAGGGCCACCCGCATAGAGCCAACATGGCGGACTATGGCCTAAATTAAAGATGAAACGGATATCCGATAACTATCCGGTATCCGGCCTATTTTAACTATCCGGCCGGGTACCGGATAGTAGAACAATATCTGGACGGTTGACGGATGTTTAAAACTGAGAAAAAATCATAATCAGTACGCCAAATAAATTTATTTATTGATTAAAAGATGATAGAAACAGTTATAATTATTAATACAAAGATCGAACACTCAGAAAAAATTTCTTCGGTCCGGCCGGATTCGAACCGACGTCTTTTAGCATACCGTGCCAGACGCTATACCAACTAAGCCACGGAACGAACCAGCGGACCTCACGAATTTTTCTATGTGCTTGTTGTCGTGTCTTTGTATTTGGTTTATCAACGACTTTTTAACCGTAGCGCCATCTATGAGAAATCTATGAAAGATTTATCACCCAGTTAGTACCTTTACAGCTACCAGTCCTGGCGAGAGATGTCGCTATTCACTGTATTAATTAAATTTTTATTAAATTGATATTCAATTATTTTTTGCGAAATTACTCCACTAGTTTGTTATAATTATAATTACAAACAAGCACATAGAAAAATTCGTGACGTCCGCTGGTTTTACATTATACATATACATATATGTATAATTGCTTCTACCTGTGAATTTTCCCAACCAGCATTTGGAGCCATAGTATTCTGTCATCCACTAACTAAGACGCGGCGAAGTAACAAAAGGTTAAATAACCGTTTAAATAGCAAAAAATAGAGCACAAAATTCTCTTTTAAAAAAAGTTAGCCGCATTTTATTCACCACGTTATCGTCCCCAGGTAATGCTTGGCGGTCAGAACATCGACGACTCGGTAACATCAGCGTTCCAGATGCTAGGTTACTGCCCACAGCACGATGCACTCTGGAAGAACGTCACCATCCGCGAGCACATCGAGTGCTACGCCGCCATCCGTGGCGTTAGCAAAAGTGATACCCCTAGGTAAACTTACAGTCTATACTATCCCTATTTTTACGGATTTAACAAACCAACGTTTCGGGCCCTTTACAGGTCCCATGGTCACGGTTGACTGACATACGCGATTTAAATCCGGAAAAATATATATTTATTAATTAAATGATCGAAAACTTTTTATCAATATACGTCATCTCTAGCAAATGCTGTGTAATGAAGTAACCTTTGCACATTGTCGCGAAAAAATACGAATTTTTGAAAAAAGTAAATGCTTTTATCATTGACTTACAAATAAATGGACGACGGGTCTAATACAAAAACCACGAAAAAAATGTCCCAAGTCAACCTATTTAAACGTAGTGATATGTAAAGGTATATGAAAAAGCTAAAACGTTGAATTTAAATTGTAATGTCATCGCAGTACTGTCTAATTTTGCTTGCTTCGCTGTCAGAAGAAACAAACGAAGACTAAAGCGTGAATGACGCTCTGTATACGATTTTAACGCCCTATATGTTCGGACACTTTTTAGCGCGGACCCGACGTCCATATCCATAGCTTATATCTTCTTTTCTTACAAATAAACATTGATTTGGTGTTATTTTTACTTTAATTTAGTTTATTTACTTATACAAAGACTATATTCACTTAAAAGGTAGGCTTATAAAAATAGTTTATGAAATACGTAAATTAGTGCACGTCGTTACAAGGTTACATTGCTTAGATTTCTATGAACTGTGACAGGGATCATCCTAGATTTTTAATATATACAACCTTTGGAAAATATGTGAAATCAAAGGCGAACTATGGCCTATGCCTCTCTTGACAGAAGACCCGTGCCCAGCAGTGGAACGCACAAAGGATTGAAGATGATACTTCAATACCTTTGTGTCTCCAATACACGCAATAAATCTATACTGAGATTCATTTTCTGTCCTCCGGAAAGTTGTTTTGGAAAAACTCCAGTTTACTTCTTATATCCGATAACGCTTTATTTTGTGAGAAGCCCCCTTGATAATAAGAAATATACAAGAACAACAAAATAATTTAAAACGTATAAAACATTTTTTTTTTTAAATATCAAGTGACACGTCTATCCATAACAGTTGCAGAGCTTATAGGTCTTAGAGGCACTGCACGGTGGCGCCCGTCAGCCTGAGACCTAAGTTGGCAAGTCCAAGTGTATGTAATTTCACCAGCAGTCTTACCCTTACAAACCGAATCGCAGGCAAAAATAGGTAAGGTAGCAGTGCATCCCTAGACCGTCGTTATTACCCAAAGAAAACCTTGTTTATAGGATAGTAGAAGCTTACCTGCACGGTCTGCAAATAATGGAGCATGCAGGCAAGAACGCAGACGAGTGTTCGGGCGGGACCCGGCGCAAGCTGTCGTTCGCATTGGCTATGGTGGGCAGCCCGCGGGTCGTGCTGCTCGACGAACCCTCCACTGGCATGGATCCGCGCAGCAAGCGGTTCCTCTGGGACACCATCCTGGCTAGTTTCCAGGTAATTTTTATTTAAAACCTTGCTGCCTAAGTGCTTCAAGTGAGGTCATAATACCACGTCGAACGTAATTTAGAAACAGCCATTTCATACACACACTCGGAGTAAGCTATTGAGATAAAAAAAAATATTGTTCTAGCAAATAGAAATTACTCAATTAATTGTTACACTATAATCATCGAGTATATAACCAGAAATAGAGACGAAATGTCATTTAATTTGTTTCAAAACTATTCTGCCATATCGTTATGGCAGAATAATTTTCAACAAAAAATTGACAACTGCGCTCCGATTGGCCAGCCCGAATTCACTTCCAAACGACCAGTTTAACTAGAGCTTTGCTATAATGGACGAAACTTGAAAAAATACATATTTAATATTTCAATTACTGATGAAATGTTATTCCCTTTGTTTTGTAATTAAATTTTTTGCTGTTTTTCCCACAACACTGAATAGAACAGCCCCCATAGTTAGAAATGTTATCTTTATTACAATAAATACAGAATATATTTTAAATAGTCATAGATCAGATATGATTGCCTGATGAGTTGCCAGGGATGGATGGCTTATTTCACCCCTATTTCTGGTTACACACTCGATGATTATAACAAACCTTGGTGTGAAACGTGTCAATGTATGATAAAACGTTTCTTAATTTTCAGGGTAAAAAAGGTGCTATTCTGACAACACATTCCATGGAAGAGGCTGATGCTTTATGTTCTAGAGTCGGAATTATGGTTAAAGGTGGTTTGAGGTAAGGTATTAATTCAATTATTTCTACGAAATAGAACATACATAACCTTGGTGTGAATAAATTAAATAAATTTTGCAGATGTATCGGTTCAACGCAACATTTGAAAAATCTGTATGGAGCCGGTTACACTTTAGAAATGAAAATTGGACAGAACAACCTACAAACTACGGTAAATCATGAGCACAATAAAATAAACCATAAGATTTAAACTTAAACACAAAACCTCTCGAACGAAAAATTTAACTGTTTTAATTTCACAGATGGACTCAGAGTTATCAATGTCACCATCACCTCTGCGGTCTACAGAAAATTCTCCATCGTTAGGCGAAGCAGATGAAGGTAATCGCAGGGTTTACAAGTCTTTGACTTGCGTTTCTCGCTTGCTTACGTTGGCTGGGTACACGACGAAGAAATCTGCCTTCCGTGTCTTCCGCTTTGTGTTGCGAAGACACTTGTAAGTGCATCTCTTGCTGCTCTGTGATTGGCCGGTGGTGTTGTCCTACGCAAGCGTGTCCTGTTGCTTGCGTGTAAATATCAAGCTTGATAGTAATCTCGAGGGACTCGTGAACGGCCCTGCCTGCGTGTACGCGACAGATCTTTGTATATGCGCGAAGCAAGTCAAGCAAACCAGCGAAAAACGCATAAATATAATGAAATTTCCTAGGGAACTTGCTTACCTGATTTTGTTACCAGGTAATTCACGCGGGGGATCAGTATCGGCCGAGCCGGAAGCAGAACCCGAAGGTGAGGCTGTGGATGTCAGCATACATACACCACTAGTCACGGGCACTCCGCCCCTACCAAGGCCACAGCATCACAGGTAACATTCACAAAAACAATAATGAATGAATTTAAAAAAATATATATTTGTTTTCAAAATTTTATCCACTTGTCACCACTATTCATAAGTACCTGCTTTAACGTACTATCTTTTTACAGAACTGAATCAACAGGCGGCGGTCCTAGTACAGAAGCTGCAATAGCTTTAGTTGGGCAACTGTTTCCTTCTGCAATCCTAGAGGAGAACTTTGCAGACAGACTCGTGTTCTCCGTACCCCAGTCTTCTGTTTCAAGTCTCGCCCGGTGTTTCCAGCAAATTGAAGATGGTTAGTTTTATCTTCAATGATATTCATATATTTTTTTAGAAAATACTAGGTTACTATTGTTGTTCATACAAAGATCGAAGAAATACAAAGAAAAATTCCTTTTACCCGGCTGGTTTCGAACCGGGCGACCCCGCCATACCTGGGCTATCGCTCTCCCAACTGAACAATCACACAGAAAAATTCGTAAAATCTAACGACTCGTTCCATAGCCCAGGTACGAGAGCGACAGTCCCGATATGGCAAACGAACAAACGTTCGGTCTTTATATCAATAAGTTTTAAAGCTATTTATGAAGAAATAGCATGCAAAAGTTTGTGAACTTCATTTGCTTTTGAGGACCAAGTTTTCAACAAATATTTGGATCCGATGCAAACATATAGAATAGAATTATTTATTTCAGACCATGATCCGCAGTAATGTTAGTAATACAGTACATTTTTCTTACGTGCTATGATTATAGTCATCACCAAATAAGAAGCCCAATTTGACAGCTAAAGAAGGCGATAATATATAACTTTGAATGCGATCAACGAAACAATAAACAAACAATTATCAGAATAAAATTGAGTTCAAAAAAATACATAAATTTTATTGAAACATTACATAATATGACAAAACATATTTGAAGTACTATTTTCGCACGAATTCCAATATAAAATGCAATTTTGAGTTACCACAATACGTCCTCAAGCTATTTTCTTTTTTAAATAATAGTGTTGTAAGCAATTAATCGGCGAATTTCACCGAGTCACTTCGATTTCTCGGAAAAAATATTTAAAAAAATATTAGAAAAAAATATGAACATTATTTGAGATTGTTTATTCTTGACATCAACAACTTCTAACTTATTGCCAGCTGAATAATTGAAAATTTATGAAATCCTTCATTTCTTGGTAATTTAATCTTTTCGTGTAGTTATTTTATCGATGAACATACTTATTTACACTAAATTCTCGTAATAAACCATTTCTGAATATTATAAAATCAAAATTAAAAGAATTGGATACAATTTATCGGAATGTGGGACCATTTTACGAAAGTAAGAGGAATTGCTACAGAATTGCAAAGAATTCTGTAAATGAATTGCTTGAACAACAATGAACCGAAAAATAATCTAAACAATCACAAAATCTTAAAATTTTGAATCGAATTCTCGTGAAAACCGTATAATGTGATTACCGATATAATTAGTCCACATCCCTGTTCGCGTCACGAGAAGTGTCAAATTGGGCCTCTTATTTGGTGACGACTTATAGTACAATACAAATTTACTTAATGCTAGAGAAATATCACGTCTAGACCACTACCTTGCGCACATGCACCCAACGTTTTTGGTAAGGGCAGTCCAGCCTATTGGCAACAATGGCCAGGATGCTATTTAACGCTGCCACACACGCGCATCATGAGTGATCTGTAATGTTAACCGACGATTTGGCCGATAACGTTACGAGTCTAGTATTAGTCTATTTACTTTAGTCATTGGATATCTCTAAATTGTTGCTGTCGGAAAACAAGACGCCAGTAAAGTGCTTCATGCGTAGGGGTAGGTCAACAACATAAGCATGGAGTATTACAGACTTTCTAGTTCACCAAAAGCGAAACTGAAGTCCACACAAGTCCACGCTACAACCCTATTATTGAGCATTAAACCCATTGACTTACAAATAAATGGACGACGGGTCTAATACAAAAACCACG